TATATATATATATATATACAAACATTATTTCGTTTTTCGATATCCTCATGAGTTATCATGAAACTTAAAATCCAAATATTAAACTAAAAAAGAACTTTTGCGTTAATATCTATAACTTTTCCTAACTTGTATTACATCATATATTCTCACAAATTTCTTCATTCTATAGAGAGAATCTATATTATAATATTCCAATAAACACACGAATATAGCGGGTTTTTAGGAGAATTTACGAAAATGCAGACTTTCCAAGGAATAACTAAAAAATAAAAAAACACCAAATAATAATAATAATAGTTGAAGTACGTCTTCTACATTTAATTCTCTTTTATTTATTTGCTACTATTTATTTTTTATTCAAAACTTTATATCCCACTATCTTATTCTTCTTCAGTTTCTTTTACATTCTTGCAACTTCTCAATAATTTTTATTTCCGTAGTCTGAATTTCAAAGACACCTTGTTCATTGTTGTAGAGATAAATAACCTGAAGGGTAAAAATTTTCCATAAAATTATTAATTGTTAGTACATATATTTTAATGTATTTAATAGATATTACAAATACATACATATCTTAATATAAATATCGACGTGTCATTAGAAATTCTAAGAACAAAAAAATAATGGATATTATATCTGTTACAAAAAGAAATTTAATTTATTTTACATTTAATATTACATAATTATATATAATTATACATAGTACAATTATATTATGACAAATAGTTGTAATTTAATTTTCACAGTATAATAGTCACAGTAATTTATAAATTATACAAGAATATGGATGTAATATATAAAGTTTGAGAAAAAATTTTTAGAAATAGATACTGTTCGTTCGTGCGTATTTTTTCTAAAAATAATAAGAAGGTTGTTCTTTTTTTTTATGTCAGTACTCACAACAAATTCAAAAAATATTTTCGAAAATTTTAATTCCATAAATACATTGCAATCCTTCGACAATAAAAATTAAAATTAACGCTAACTTTTTTTTTATCGCAATGAAATGCGACAATAATACTTGAAACTATCAACTTGATTACCAATTTGAGAATAATGCGATAATTATATACTATATTATACTATATTATGTATATTGTATTATTCTCAAATAGGCTACTAACTACTATACTGAATTATTAAATATATTTGAAGAACATATTTATATACAGATTATAAATTCTTCTACCACACAATTAAATTCTTTTATCGGTACAATCAATCGTTCGTAAAAATTAGAAATCTAGCGGCATTCAGATAGTTGGAAGATTAATAAAACAAAATGTCATTAAAAGAAGAAATCGTTTCATCATAAGAATAAACATTCAAAATCAATTCGATAGTGCTAGGAGTTTTAATTAGGGAAGCGATTGTAGAAAATGTCGTGATGTTTCTTTCTGTGTTTGTCGATGCACCATTTGTGAGGACTTTTGTATGAGCATATGTCACAGCTGAATTTCGGTTTTGCATTCACGCACTCGAACTTCCGATGCCTCCAGAGAGATCTTTTCACCGCGTAACTCTTGCCACAATCTGCGCACATGTAAGTCCTCTCGCGCGTTTCGTAGATGGCACTTCCTCGTTGTTGATGTTGCACCTCACCGACGTCGTATCCGTCCACTCTCTTGTAAGACCACATCGCTGAAACACCAATGTCAAATCGGTTAAAAAAAGCAATTATTTAGCGACAACAGGCGCAAGTGCACGTGAATTGAACATTAATTCCGAGAGGACGTCATAGACGATATCAATATTTCAATTTTTTTATTAATAATCGCAGGTAACAGTCGAAAGAATTTGTCAATATTGCTGAGACAATTTAATGAAAATTATTATATAGGAGTGCGAGAGTTAATAATTGTCAACAATTGATTTTAGAAGATGATGCACGGTATCTCTTCCTATACCTGTCAACACACAACTTACGAATAAATCTCACACAGCTAAAACTCTGTACTACCTGTTACCTTATACGTTTACACATTCCAACTTCCGATGTTTCGAGAGTTTTATCCTCAACGTGAAACCCTTGCCGCAATCAGTGCACATGTAAATCCGTTTGCGCACTATGACAGCATGTTTTTTTTGTGTGTGTAACGCCCTATCTCCATCGCTATTGTGTGTACCAATTTTCTTGTGAAGAGAAGAGTACGCCATGACAGGAGTATGCCATAATAAAGCTGAAACAACAATGTTAATAATCGTTTAATGGAAGCAATCTGCTAAATAATTATAATTATAATTAATTTATTAAAATGTTAACAATACCACATGTGTATAAATTAAAATGATAATAAACAAAATAAATATAAAAATATAAAAATAAATATCAATTAAATTCTAATAATTGTAATAAAATATTTTTTGGGAATAAAAAAATTAATTTAAATCTTAAAAATTAGAATGAATATATTATGAAAGAGAGACGTGGGATAAGAATGTGTGTGTGTGTGTGTGTGTGTGTGTGTGTGTGTGTGTGTGTGTGTGTGTGT